CTTAATGTGATAACATTAATCCGTAGGTGGACACAGACAAGATAATGAATAATATATAATGAAGACATGAATAATGAATACTAAGAAAGTCACAACCAATGGATCTAATCCAATAAGTTGCAACAGAGGAGATTTACAAGTAAATATTCAAAAACAAAAACAAAACCCAAAGTATGTTCTGTTTCTGATTTCAGAAGCTCAAAAATACCTGGAGACTTTGGAATTTAGAAGGCAGCTCACACTGATGTTCCATTGCACCTAGCCTTAAAAAAATAAACATCACTAGAATAATGTTACATGTGCTACTTCATAAACAGCTATTCAAGCTTGTTTTGAGCTTCATGAAATTGTCTTGCTTTGTCTACTAAAACAAGTTTTGTTTCATTTTATTTAAAGCTGTGCTTCTGCTATCCTCAATAAAAACAAGAGGGCTGCAGAGAGGCGATTTCAAAAATAGAACCTAGGGGAGGGATTTCCTGAACTCACAAAATCAGGCTTATCTTTCTCCCTCTTACATTAACTCTTTGACTATGATTTAGACTGCAGGTTCACTCAGTTACTTTCCATTAAATACCACAAAACCAAAAGGAAAAAATAAAAGAAGAAAAGAAAAAAGAAAAAAAGGAAGGAAGGAAGGAAGGAAGGACCAACATTCTTTTGTTTACAAACAACCTAATATAAAATATCTAAGATTTTTTTCTGTATTTTACATTCAGGATAGAAACAAAGTGTGAGCAACAAAACTAGGTCCTGTGTTTATGTTGTACTGATTAAAAATAATAGTTGGAAAACACATATTTAAAAATCCATGCTTGATTCAGAAAGGTATGTATCACCTTTATTCTTCTAAAAAGATTTGCAATGGTTTCAGTTTGCGTGCAGTTACTCTATTGACAGTGCCTAGAACGGAAGGTAATTAAAATTGTTCCAGGCTTGTGTAAAAGACAGAAAACAAAGCTGTTTAGCTGAAACTGAAAGCTGAACACTCTGAAAAAAATATCCTGCTGTCTTTTAGAAACCAGATAGCTAGCCAGGAAATTAAATTGTTTCCACTTTATTAGTTGGGTTGCAACATGTACTTGTAAATTTAAATTTTTTATTCCAACTGTAAGAAATCAGGGAAAGTAAAAAGATTGTCCACTTTTCTGGATATTTAGTGAGCAAAGCATGTAGCAGAATAATAGAAATAAAGATAACTATCAGTCCAATTTTATTGCTAGGCAATTACACTCAACAGTCAAGTTTAGAAATAATGAAGTCTGGTGAAGTATTCCTTAAGCAATTGGAGAAAGAAAATATGAGACTTAACCCTAATGAAATATTTCCAAATCCAAGCTATGGTATGCATTTCCATAGGAAAATGGTACAGTGATGAATAAATTAAATGATATTTGCTGCATACATAGCCTGTAGATCTCTGAAAAACTAGATCTTTCTAGCTTTGAATTATAGGAGGAAGTTCTTGAATGACAGTCCTACCAAAGACTAGGACTAGGACCTAGGATCAATAATCCACCCATACTTCAAGATAGGAAATAATGATCTGTTAAAGAATTGTAGATTTAAGTAGTAAGAAACATGTCCTTTCATTAACAGCAGTTATGGTCATGTGCACATCACATGGCCAATCCAGTTCCATCTCCAGTTAATTGAATCACCTCAATGTGCCATTATCATACAATCTAATTTGATTCTGATGGGCTCTAGGTTGAACCATCTTTCCATCCTTCTGAGGTTGGTAAAATGAGGACACAAATTGTTGGGAGCAATCTGTTGACTTTGTACAATGCTCAGACAGCACTGTAAAGCACTATGGAGTGATATATAAGTCTAAGTGCCGTTGCTATTGCTATCTGGGATAATAAGGTCAGTCATTTCATATACATTTTTTTAGTCCTCCTAGTAGTCACTTCAAATGTAGTTGATGAATGTCATTGACATTTTTCGTTAAAACAATTTTTAAAAATAAATATGTGGTAACTTGAAGGAAACTTGGTTCTTCTGAGGACAAAATTAGGAGAAGGCTTTCTTTTTACCTTTTTACCCCATGTGGCTACAAGGTGGGGTGAGGGAGAAAATAAAAAATCCAGCAGACAAGGTACCTATAAAGTTCTCTTTTTTTGCAGGATCCTTTAAGGACTTCCTTTGTCTTGAAAAGCAGCAATCAATTTTGTCTGCCATGCCTAGTGGGGTAACTTAATTAAGTCCCGACCAATTCTGGAATATGTGGAGATAAAGCTAATTCCTTCTGGGCTAATTGTTTGGGATAGTGTTTTGTATAACATTCGAATCTGGATCACATAATGTGAATTCCTGACAATAGTTGTGTGGGAATGATAACTAATTAACTTGCTTTTTGTCTTG